GACAGACAGATAGACAGATAGATAGATAGATAGATAGATAGATAGATAGATAGATAGATAGATTACGTCTTGTTTTCTGACATTATTTTTGTATATGTATATAAAAATACCTTCAGTTGGGTAAGAAAATAATCTAGTTTTCCCTTTGAATTAAACATACATTTCTTTCTTTCATTCTTTGTTTCTTTTTTCAGAAAACCAGACTTAATATATATATTATAATTATTACAACCACAAAGAACACCCTAGTAACTGCATACCAATGCCCTGGAAACCACACAGAACACCACTGCAACCACATAGCAACGCCCTGGCAACAACAAAAAACATCATAGCAACTGCATAGCAACACATTAAAACACTCATAACACCCTAGCAACCACATAGCAACACCCACTTATCAACTGGTGAGTATTTCAAATGTTAAATCCTACAGAAGACAACCATCAAGAACAACCATCAAAAACATTAGAGCAACTGCATAGCAACACAGTAAAACACTCATAACACCCTAGCAACCACATAGCAACACCCACTTATCAACTGGTGAGCATTTCAAATGTTAAATCCTACAGAAGACAACCATCAAGAACAACCATCAAAAACATCATAGCAACACATTAAAACACTCATAACACCCTAGCAACCACATAGCAACACCCACTTATCAACTGGTGAGCATTTCAAATGTTAAATCCTACAGAAGACAACCATCAAGAACAACCATCAAAAACATTAGAGCAACTGCATAGCAACACAGTAAAACACTCATAACACCCTAGCAACCACATAGAATCACCTGGTTATCAACTAGTCAGTATTTCAAATGTTAAATCCTACAGAAGACGACCATCAAGAACAACCATCAAAAACATCATAGCAACACATTAAAACACTCATAACACCCTAGCAACCAAATAGCAACACCCACTTATCAACTAGAGAGCATTTCAAATGTTAAATCCTACAGAAGACGACCATCAAGAACAACCATTAAAAACATCATAGCAACTGCATAGCAACACATTAAAACACTCATAACACGCTAGCAACCACATAGCATCACCTGGTTATCAACTAGAGAGCATTTCAAACACTAACTCCTTCAATAGACTGGGTTTTGGGGAAGTGGCCACACGTGTGATCTCAGTGAGGGAATAACGCGGCAATGGCTGATGAAGTCATCAACACACTCGCGCGCATGGGCCCTGTCAGCCATGCCGTGGCTTTTTGATCATATGTGACAGCTGTTTCCTCTCGTACTTTGTGGCTACGTGAGAAAGTCATCAGACTTTGTTGTCGCGCGATGAGATCTCAAACCGCGACAGCTGCTGCCCCAGGTGTAGCTGATCCACAAATGGAAATGAATATATATGTTTTTCACTTGGCTTTGCTCCCGCGGTCAGGGTGGAGACTGTCGCTGACATGAATTTGCATCACTCCTGCAAAATATAAATAAATATATATATATATATATATATATATATAAGGGCTTAATCCACACACACGCGAGTGCTGCAGTGTCGCCATGGAAACCGCGGGAGGAAAAAAATGCGATGTACTGAGTGCTGTCTGGGGCTGGATATTTTTAGGCGATGGAGAGGAAGAAACTGGGAAGAGAGAGAGAGAGAAAGTGAGAACTGATGGAGGACTAGAGAGAAAGTCATTCCTGGTGAAGTTTAGACTAGTTAGTTGATCAAGACTCGTACATACATACGTGTTAACACTGATCATTAAAATTGGTTAGCGAAAGAATATGCCTTGTTGGAGCCACAGTGTAATGGTTAGCACACTGGTGATTTGATTTTTTATTTTTTATTTGAATTTTGTTTTACAGCAGATTATTTCAGGTTAAGTAACTAAGAACTGTTTTTTTATGTATCGTTGAAATTTTTTTTTCTTTTGGAACAAAAAATAAATTTGGATAATAATATACAATAGTAATAATATATTTGTTATTATTGCCACATTTTTGCAGGATTTATTGCAAATATAAATAGTTTTATGCATTTTTAATGCATTTTTGTATAGTTTTATTTATGTTTTTGAAACAAAAAATACATTTGTATAATAATAATAATAATAATATCTTTTATTGCCACATTTTTGCAGGGTTTTTTTTTGTTGTTGCATTTTTATGTTGTTTGATTTATGCTTTTTGGAATTATACATTATGTATATTACTACTACTAATAATAATAACTTAACTAATTAATATTTTGTATTATTAATATTATTATTGCCACAATTATGCAAGTTTTTTCCCCAAATAAAAAGTTATGCATTTTTTCCCCCTTTTTTATGCTTTTTGGAACACAATACAATATGTATATTACTAATACTAATAATAACTTAACTAATTAATATTTTATACTAATAATAGCACTAATAATAACTTAACTAATTCATATTTAATACATTTGTAATATTGTTATTATTATTACCAATATTAATAATTCATATTATTAACATTATTTTTATGTGCCATATTTATGCAGTTTTTTACCATATAATTAGTCACAATATTGTTTTGTATTAAAATATTTTATATAACGTCTGATAACTTATACAAAAATGTACACATATGCAAATGTTATACTTATAATAGGAATAGTAGTAATAATGATAGTAATAATGTGCCATATTTATGCTTTTTTTGGAATGTAGTCACAAATTACATAGTTTCTGAAAACTGTTGATTTGAAAATGAAATTATTTTATTATTCTTAAATAATGCATAATTATTTGTGGATTTTTTTGCAAATTAAAATTCTAAAAGTGCAAATCTATTGGTAAAACAATTTCAAATTTCTCATAAAGGGATTAGACATTCATATTCAGAAGAATGTATATATATATATATATATATGCATGTGTGTATGTATGCATGCATGTGTATATATATATATATATATATACACATACATATGTATATACATATGCATGTATGTGTATATATATATACAGTGGGGAAAAAAAGTATTTAGTCAGCCACCAATTGTGCAAGTTCTCCCACTTAAAAAGATGAGAGAGGCCTGTAATTTTCATCATAGGTATACCTCACAACCATCAAGAAAACCTTATAAACGTATAGCAGCAAGTGTTTTTTACAGACCAGAACCATTTATATATTTCTTCAGAAAATGTGCAAATCTACTTGCTAATGTCTGTTTGTGTCTGCAGAGAAGCAGAGAGCTCGGTGTGTGTTCAGACAAACACTACAGCCGGTTACCTGCAGGCCGTGGACTCGGCCGGGACCCCCCTGTGTCTGTCCTGCCAGAAGCCCAGCGGGGAGCACCGCGGCTGGGCAGGAGGCTTCTGCAGCCCTGCCTGTATGGAGGACTTCCAGCTGCGCTCCAATCAGGGCTACATGCGCGCCCGCGTGCTGGAGACGGAGCAGGGTGTGTGTCAGCACTGCGGACTCAATGCCCACCAGCTGTACGTGCAGGTCCGGGACGCCCCGCGCACACACCGCAAGGAGATGCTGGACAACACCTGGCTGGCACAACTCCCTCTCAAACAGGTTGGGCTCATTTCTAGGAGCCTCATCTGCAAATTTGGCCATATTTCTTTCTTTCCATCCATCCATCCATTACATGCTAAAGTTGCTCAAACTCTTCAATGTGCATATTCTGGTCTTTTTTTTTAACTGAAATGCAATGCGCAAGACAGTTTCAGTATTTTTACCTTAATTAAAACAGTCACAGCACTCTCCCAGCTATTAGATGTCAAGACTAGGATAAATATAACAAAAAATAAAGACATTTTTTATTATCCCCTTTTGTGGATTGTATAATAAAAAAAAATAGCAGACTGCCATTGTTATTACTTTTAGTATTTTTAAGTTGAAATGCCTTCTAAAAAATGTAATGCATAAATATGCCACAAAAAAATATTATCATTAACAATACTTGTGGCATGTTGTTATTATTTGTCAATGTTAAAAATAGTAGCCAGTATTGTTGTTAATAACAAGAAATATTCAGTAATAATAATAATAAATATGCTACAAATAATATTTTTACTAATTAAAAAAACTAAGATGCCACAAAATAATAATATTATAATTTTAATAACAACAACCATAAAAGCATTTCAGTTAAAAATTTAATGCTTACCTAAATATGCTTCAAAATATTAATAAAATAATATTGTTTTGTTGTTGTTATTATTAACAAGTATTATTATCATTTTTAATAACAATAATTATAAAAGCATTTAAGCTGAAATGTCTTAATGTAATGCTTGCCTAAATATGCTTCAAAATATTAATAATTATTATTATTATTAATTGCATATTTGTATTATTTATTGTTATTGTTCTTAATAATGTTATTTTATTATAAATAGCTATTGTTATTGTTAACAACAAATAGTAATAAATGCCACAAATATTATTAGCATATTTCTTTTAACCAACATAAATGTCACAAAATAATATTATCATTCAAATATCATCAAGTATTTTAATAATGATAGTAAATATAATATTTGTAGGAAATGTTCATTACTTAATTATTCATTATTAATAATAATAATAATAATAATAGGTATTATCATTAGCAGCAGCATCATCTACTCTTCATAGATCTTTTTCTTATTTTTTCTTTCTTTAGAATCTTCTTTAAAAAGTAATCTCTGAGTTTCATCCATGTCCACAGAAGAAGTCGATTGCCCTCCTCGTAGCTCCTGCTCAAAAACTTCCTCCAGTAGATTCTGTGAGAGGTGTACGTAGCACCGAGACTAATTTCGTCTGGGAAGTTGGCCAGAGTTTGGGGAAAAGCGCGCATTAGTCACTTCCAAAAGCACATTAGTCGGAATTATCCCCAAACATTTGCGAGTAACTCGGCAGATGCTGCATTTTATTGAAAAAATATTGCTTACAGTGAAAGCTAAATAAAGATGGCCTGTTTAGCTTGCAGAAGCAATAAGAGCATCGCGGCCTTGGGCATCTGCTCTCTGACTCTCTCTATAGAGTTATCATCAGTGCCGTTCACACTCTCTCTCTCTCTCACACACACACACAGCCGTCCTTTCCTCCCCGGAGCATCCAGCGTTAACACAACGCCTAGTCTGTCTGATTGCCATTGATTTTTCCCACAGTGCATTGCTACGAGGTGTAGGTTTGATTTTTCTTCAGCTTTTCTGTTAGAGCCCCGAGCGGCAGCGGCCTGATCAATAACGCGCTTTAAGCTCCAAGTGCCCTCTCCGCACAAACAAGCCTGCTGTCGTACACGCAAAGCATTATTACGGAGAAACCTTTGTGCGTGTTCGCAGTTTCCTAGCATTAGCATGTGTTTTGGCGCGTACGCGTTGACTTATTGACGCCCAAGGTCCAGTAAGGAAGCATCCCGCTCTCGTAGTGCGAGGTTATCGTCCGTGTCGCGACCCTTGAGATTCAGGATAATTATCGTCCGGCTCTGCTGAGGGGCAAGGAGAGGATTGATTGGGTTTTCTCCAGAGAGCGCCGCGCGCTGAAATGCCAGCGCTTGGGCTTGGGCCTCGCGTTCCCAGCGTTGATCGTCCACTCGTGATTTCCACTCCAGCTTTAATCCTGCTGAACACGTGGAGTCCTTCGCCGCGGCGGTCTGCTGGAATAAAGGGAATTATAGAGTTTCCCGACGGGCTATTCTGAGCTCTTTCATGTAGCGGTTCAATAAAACAACAGGAATAAAAGGGATCTACACACAGCAACAACACTGTTAAGACACTCAAGACTCTCTCTGGGTGGTGGAGTCTTTCAAGTGCTGTATTCTTTAAAAGATAGACTCATACTTGGATTAATATCAGTATTCATCGATTATCAGTAGTTTTGATCCTTTAATATTGCGTTCAACAGAAAACAACAGAGTCAATTTAAGTATGATTATTTAAGTTGTGGTGGTTCTTATTAATAATTAAAATATTTTTCATTCTTTTTAGGATAATACTTATAATTTTAATAAGTATTATTTTTGTTAATAGAACAAAGAACTGTTAATAATTATAACATGAGTAATTATTATTAATGATTACAACACGTATACATTTTTTATTTTTTATTAATGGCAATGTTTTTATTAAAGTATATTATTATTATTTCAACAATATTTGTAATAAATTAATGCAAATACAATTTTTTTTATATCAGTATTCTTATGAAAAATTAACAATATTTTTTATTAAATATTGTTAACTAATAGTGTTGTTTTTGTTTAGTTATTGTTATACAATTGAAGTTTTTGTTCTAAAAAGCAACAAATCAATAAATAAAATGGGTTCTGCATATCGGTTACTGGACACTTAGACATAAAAATAATCTGTATTGTATCGGTCATGAGAGAAATATTTGAAGATCTATTTGATTTGTCTGACATGGTCTGTGTTTACATGTCGCAGCTGAATGAAATGATTCAGAGTCCCGTTGAAGGACAGTTCTGGCAGGTGGACCACATTAACCCCGTGTACAGAGGAGGAGGACAGTGTTCCCTCGAGAACCTTCAAACCCTTTGTACCGTCTGCCATCGGATGGTACATCATTTCATCCACACACACACACACACAAAAATGCATATTTGGAATTTATTTCATATTTTTACATTTATATTTATGTAATTTATTTTAAAATAAAAACATTTTAAGTTATATATAAAATGTATACAATATTTATATAAATATTTTAAACATGAATTTTTAAAAACAATAATAATTACTATTTAGTAGTGCTGTCAAATGATTAATCGCGATTTATTGCATCCAAAATACAATTTTTTGTTTACATAATATATATGTGTGTACTGTGCATATTTATTATGTATATATAAATAGAAACACATGCATGTATATATTTAAGAAAAATGTTATGTTTATATATCAAATATATTTATACAAATTAAATTATACGAATATAAATATATACATGTAAATGCATGTAAATATTTTTTAAATATATACAGTATGTGTGTATTTATTTATACATAATAAATATACACAGTACCCACATATGTTATGTAAACAAAAACTTTTATTTTGGATGCTATTAATTGCGATTAATCGTTTGACGTCACTAATATATCGTTTTATTTATTAATGCTTACAATATTTTATTTTAATTATTTGAAACATTTTAAGCGCACTATAAATATTGTTTTATTTATATAAATATAATACAATAATAATAAAGTATGTTGTTTTATTGTATTGTTATTAATGATTACAACATTTATTAAGTGGATATTTTTATTGTTTTAATTAAAATATTACTGTTATTGTTATTAATTGTTTTATTTAATATTAACTGATTTAATTAATTATTAAATTAAATAATTTCTTTTTATTTATTTATTATTATTATTTAATTTTGTTTAATGTACAGTGTTTAAAATAAAGACAGAATTGAAATACCATTATTTAATTTTTACATTTATATTCAGCATTTAATTTGAATATGCAACACATTTGTAGTATTTCGTGGTGAATCTGTGCTGGGTTTGTTTTGCAGAGGACCGCACAGCAAGCCAAAGACAGAAGTCAGATGAAACGAGACCAAGCCGCCTCCAAACTGGCCTCTGACATCACACGATTCTTCATCAAGAAATGAGCCGTTCCGTCTGCAACTATTAAAAACACATATTCAGAGCTGTTGCCTTGGAAATGACCCGCCTGCCAGAGGTGTTATTTACCAGCATCTGCAGTGTTTGAGGATTGTAATTTAGCCGATTGGGTAGCTGTTTTTAATCACTGCTCTCAGCAAGAGACAAAATAACTTTTATATTCGATGTGTTCAACCATAAATTAAATAAAGTCACTAAATAAACATGTTCCATTCACATTCAGTCGTCATGTTCTGCATTTAAACAAAAAGCGTTGGTCTTATTCTGCGTGTAAAACTAACTCTTTGGATGGTGAACTATGTGTTGCAGGTTTAGCGCGAGTGCTGCAGGACGTGTTGGCGTGAGATGTTTCCAGTGTCTGCTGGGTTTTTTTGGGTCAGTGCAGAGATAGGAGGCTGTGTGGAGCAGCTGTCAGGCAGGACAGGATGTTCACTTTCACTCGTGTCTATAGAGCGTGATAAAGCTTATCTCTCCTACACGAGAGACACTGAGAGGCAGATTGGCACGAGATGCGGGGTAGGTTATTCTTATACTGCTGAATACACGTACAAGACACGGGATGTTCGTTGCATGCACATTTGAGACAGCTTCACGTTTGATTTGTTTCGTGGGGTCGTTTTATACTATCTTGATAGTGTTTCGAATTTGATCAAATTCAACTGGAGAAAAACATTACCCAATTAAATGAGTGAAATAAAAGCTCTCTTTTCCATGCTTACGTACATAAAATAATAATGATAGTAATCATAAAAATAATAAATATTTAAATTTAATATTATATTTTTTTAATTACTGTGTGTATACACATATTTCTATATTAAATATATAATTTTTTTTT